TAGGCTTTTGTTTGTTTGCTTGTTTGAAACCGAATCAATAATTATCTAGTTTGTGATGGCAAATACCAGTCTCGGGAACCTCTTTCAGCTGGGGAGTAGATCGTGGGCATTTCTAACCCCAGCCCATCTAGCCCCATCTAGTCTGACACCCTTGAATGATATATCTTTCCTTTGTAAGTACGCTCACAATTGCATCTCCTATGTTTTTGTCAGTCTGGTTCAATACATGAATTACTCTGTTCCTGATTGTCTCCTGGTAACATTTTTAGACCAAAGGAAGTAGTAAATCATTAGCTATCTGTTTGCTCCTTCCTGCATGACTGTCTCTGCCTACAGGTTTGCTGTTTCTTTGTGGATTTCGTCTGTGTAAAGTTTGGGGCTGAAGGTGAAAACCTTCTGAAACTTTGCAATCCTAGTTAAGCTGGAAGCAAATATGTTACTCAAAATGTGAAAAACTCATAAAAACTTACCATGCTACCCTAAAAGGTATAAATACTGAAGTCTTTGTAAAATAAATTCCATGTGTACTTGGGAAGGCTACTGTGCAAGAGGAGTTTGCCTGTATGCTATGCAACAGGTGCCTTGAAACAGTCTGAGCAGAAATTCTCTTTGAAATATTGTTTGCTCTCATTTCATTTCTGTGTCAACGTATGCGGGGTGCATATTAGTAACAGATGGCATTTGCAGCATCATTCACAGTTTTCACAGAATTGAACAGGCAAAACATACAAAAAAGCTAATACTTGGATTTTTTCTTTCCCTTAAATTGCATGTATGTGTGGGGATTGGTGGGAAGAGCTCTGTAAGTGAATTTGCACATGTGGATGCTCTTTTAGCTGCTTGCAGAACATGAAATGTCAGATTGGAGCTGGTTCTGTCTGCTTTCTGGTAAATACCGTTTTTTCATGCAAGTTCAAAAATACTTCACTGATGAGATGTATCAAGCTGAAGTCAGTGGTAGTCAAGTGCTCTTTCAATTTAGGACTAGTGGATTTTATATGTGGAAGAAGTCGTGGTTTTAATGACTGTTTAGACATAGAGTTGTCTATGTGTTACAGGGTTTTTTTTCTGAATCAGCAAATAATAACACTGAGTACTGGGACCTGAACTCGCAGAGGCTGATAAGTGAAGGATTAAGGTTCATCGTCACAGCACAGAGTTAAGGCAGAAAAGCATGACGGTACAGGCATTTGTGCACTCACTGTAATTACTATGAAGATTTTCCCACACACTGAAACACTAGAGAGAAGCCCTTCTTCCTAGCAGAGCTTTTAAGAGTGGAGTAAAGAAGACTGAGACCTTCAGTCCTTGTTTTACTTCTTAGAATTGATTTCTTTGGATTTCTTAACATGATTTCTTCCCCTCCGATTCACACTGGCTCTGTTGAACCACTTTGTTGCTCACTTCTTGCTTCTCCCATTTGTGTTCCATTTACCACCACCTGTCCTTCCTGGCTGCTAACAGCTAGGTGCTGTTTGCATCTCTCTACCCTCTCCCAGATTTGCCTTTTGGCATTTGTCTCCTCCAGGATCTTTTTCCACCCTTCTGCTCTGGTCTCCATGCATTTGAATGGTGTTTCTAGGACCCTTTCCCTTGGGATGGGGAGGAGATTGTGAGGATAACTTGGAGATCAGTGGAGCAGCAGTGGCATCCAGTGGCCTTCTTGGTTAATCACAAGTTGAAATTTCTACTGCTGAATCACAGAATCATAGAATGCTTTGGGTTGGAAGGGACCTTTAGAGGTCATCTAGCCCAACCCCCCTGCAATAAAAGCAGGGATAGTTTTAACCAGATCAGGTTGCTCAGAGCCTCATCCAACCTGACCTTGAATGTTTCCAGGAAGTGTGGGGAAATGGAGGGTCTTCACTTCTCTCATTTGTGAGTCTGAGTGAAAGCTGTTGATCAAAATCAGATATGTCAAGGATCTGGATGCCGCTGTCTGCTAAGGTGTCACACTGAGGCCAGGCATGTATACTATGTTTCACATTGGGAGTTCCCAAGCTCTGGAAGTCACTGGCACCATTAGATTTCACAGGAGAACTAATCTGTCAGGGAACCTGTTTCCCTCTAGGTGGGAGAATAGTTTTTTTCAGAGATAGCTTTGTGCTGTTACTGGATACTGTGTTTATGCTACTGGGATTAATGTTAAACCAAGCACTTACTGTACATTTGATTATCCAAACAAAAAGCATGTGATCACTAAGAATAAGGGAGGAAAAGCAGTCTCCTCAGAAAGCCCAGGACTTTGTTGTGGTGTTCGCTTTGTGTGTGTTACAGCTTTTTGTCCTTTTTCACTCCTACCCATTTAGAGTGGAAACTTTTGAGAAAAAGTCTGCCACCTATTCTGTGGTAATTGCTTGGTGGCCTTGTCCTTCTAAAAGTTCAGAAAGCATGACAGAAAAATTGATGAAGTTATAGGAAAAAAATGCTTCTAGTTCTGCCTTCTTCCTTCTAAGGAAGCCACTGTATAAGATTTCTTTCCTTGCCTAAATACCTGGCATAATCACTTTTTTGTTGTCTGCTGCTTTATTTTTTTACTGAATATTTTATAAACTCACGAATCAAGTGTCTGATTTTCTTGCTGAGCAGTCTCGGTGATTACTTTTTTTTTTTTCTTTCTTGTTAAGCATTTTAATTCAGATCTCATGGATGTGTGAACATTTTCCGTCTGGCTGTGCTCTAATGAGTCACTTTTGCCATCCGGTCTTTTAATAAAAATATGTCTGATTTAAGGAATAAAGCAAGTGAACATACTCTTTTGCTCTGTGTTGGTACAGAAGTCTTAATACTGTGGAGTTTCTAGACATTACTGTGAAATAGATTATCATAATAATAAGGACTTAAATACAATTAATCACAGCCATTTGTAAGGAAATTTGTTTTAGAGGACATGCGGATTAATCTCTTTTTCTTACTCTGTTCTGTGGAAGAGGAAGCTTTCAACATTTCCATATTTAATGACAGTTTCAAATGGGGGAATTAAAATTAGCTGGGAGAGAAACTGGTCTAGTGAGTGAGACATCTATTTGTTGAATATGGGGAGAGGGAGATAGTATTAGAAAACAGTTTTATGACAGTTTTAATAATCAAAAAAAAAGGAAAGGAAAAAGAAAATAAAGTGCTGTAAAGTAAATAACCAGTTACACTTCAGTTCTAAATAACTGCCTATATATAGGAATTCTAGAGACTACTGATGTATTAATTTATTTGACAGCTTCATGTCCACGTGCTACAAGCGGGTGCCCTGTGAAATGGTAATGAAGTTTACATATGGAGGAAGGGCACCCTGAGCTGTGCTTACTTTTACAGCAGGGCATTACACCAACTATTGTGTGAATATTTCTGAAGTATCTACCAAGGCTGTCCTATAAATCCCCTTCTTTTTTTCAGCAGCTAGTAAGAGCTTTTCAGCTTAGAATCTATGCGAATTTGGAGTTGTATGACCTTGGTCATGTAGTGAACGTAATAAGAAAATATGGTAGTAGGACAAAGGAATGGCTATTTGAAGGCTGGTGAACGAAAGAAGAGGAGCAAATACATTTGCTGTTGATCCAAGTTGTGACCAGAAGGAGCTTTGTTCTTAGCTCTGGGAGGATACTTGATTACCTGGTCATGTGAAGGCAACTGCTCTGTGTCTGATGACAGCAGTGAGAGAACTGCCTAAAAAAAGAACAGATGAGTTGAGCTTCCCAGCTGTGCTTTTTCTCTGAGGCATAAGCCAACTCTTGAAAGTGTGTAAATTGACTCAGGAACGTTGAGGGATGTATCTCTGGTTGCTAAAGCTGTATTCTCTACATGCTTAGTTCTTTGGGCTTCATTCTTTTGATAGTGTTTGTTCTGAAAAGTGTTTTACTGTGGCTGTGTTACTTAATTTTATTCATTATAAAACAAAGAAAAATATTGACACCTTTTAAAAAGCAATTCAAACAAATAATGAACCAAACACTCATTCAGCTACAAAAACCCTCTTTTCCAGTCTAACACAGAAGCTTTCTTAACACACGTAAATGCAGGTTGTTGTGTTCAGAGATAATTTTTTTCTAAGTTTGTTGGCTTATTGGTAGCCTCTCTTTCTTACAGACAGCTCTTTTAAATCTGTGTGACTTTTTTACTTGCAGTTTAGTGAGACTTCTAATGCATGAGGATCCAATGGTCTACAAAGTCTTCAAGTTGATTTGTGAGTGGCTTCTTACTTAGAAGACAGACCATTGTATGTCACAAGATCCAGACGGTGGTACCCAAGTTCCAGGAGAATATAGAACGCGTGACAGAAGTAGTGGAATTGGGGCATTGTTTATTGCTCTTCATTTTTGGTGGTGTAATACTGTCATAAGCACACTTCAGTGAAAGACTTTGACCAGGAATACAGGAATACATGGTACAAGTTTAAAGTACTATGATTAGGAGGAATGTCCTAAGCAGAGCAAAATGTCTTTTCTCATTGGCTCTTTTGCCTGGATTGGTCACCCAGTATGAAAGATTCTAGTCTTTAGCACAGTATATACTGAGTATCCTTGTGTAAGAAACAATGCTGTTGTATATGTATGCTTTTATATATAGGAACATATCAGCGGTCTGACGGAGTTAATGAGCTTCTTCCTTTACTGTCAGGAAACTAATGTAGTTTTAATGTCCTCTTCAAGATCTGTAAAGTCATTAGAATGAAAATTGTTCTACATTAAAATGCAAGCCTAGCAAAGTATTTTGTTTTCATTAGTCATGGTAGTTTACGTAACGCTGGCTGTGTGTGTAAGGACTTCACAGTCATTAGCTCAGAGCATGCTTCTTCAGTTAGCGTTGTATTTGTATTTTAGGAGCTGACACAGTTAAGGGAAAACTTACTACCTAATTCCTGCCTACCTTGTGTTATTTTTCCTGTTTGGAAAAAAAAAAAAAAAAACGGAGAAAGAGGAAAAAAATAAACAATTGCTCCAAACATATTAAGATTTGAATAAGAAATAATAACTGTTTTCATTCTGTGATCATGTTTTTGCTCACAGAGGAGGAATTATTCAGTAATTTGTCCATATTCAATGAAACGTGTGTGAAGTGGCAAAGGAGAACTGGAAGACCGGGAGTGCAAGAAGCGTACACAGTAAGTGGGGCAGTATTTGAGATTGGGAGTAGTTTTGTCCTCATTAATTCTGGTGCATTGGCAGTGGAGATTTGTTTTGTGGGTTTTGTTTTTGTGGTAATTTGTCTTGTTCTTCCCAGTGAACTGCCTAGAAACCTAAAGGTAGCTGGGTTAGGAAGGAGACAAATCCCTGTCCTAAAGTTAGGTGAAAACCTCAAAAGCTGTTGGGGTCCCATTCCATTAAATCACCTAAACATCTGCTTGAAACTCTTAAGAAAGCATTTCAGCACAAGTTTATGTTTTAGTGCAATTCCGTTGTAGAGCTCAAGGTTACATTGACATAGAAAACATTGTGAAACTTGGGCTCTGTCCCTATCTGTGATGCAAACATTTCAAGTAAACAGTGTATCACTTGCAGATACTGGATGTAACTTCTTTTTAGAAACGCGAGGTATATTGAAATACTGTGCCTTGCTCAAGAGATTCAACCATCTTATATGTGAACATTTTAGAACTGTTTTTCATGCAAATTGAAAGCAACCTTGGTAACTACTTTTTTTTGCCACCTATAAACATAAGAATAAAAGTTAAGATACAAATTCTCAGAAACAAATAGTTCAGTCAGTGTTACCGACAGCCAAAACAACGTGGTAAGAATACCCATGTTTTGAGAATGACAACATCCCAAGAAAAGTTGTTTTTTTGAGCATGTACAAATAGGGGAAAAAAGAAAATTTAGAATCTCCAGGGTGGGTAGGTTAATGTGGAAAATACATTTCAAGGTTGGGTGATAATTTTGGAAAACAACCTGTCTTTCTCCTCCTGTGTTATAAACTAATGTATTTCTAGTTTGAGTTGCTTTTATTGAGCACTGCTGAGATGGAAAAAGCAAGTTCCCAATTACCCTAACAGTTCAAAACCAGTGCTTTTCACGTACCCAGTGGTAACTGGCAAGCTGTGGATCTCTGATGTGATGTGCTCTGTGCATGTGCTTTTGCCTGAATTCAGCTATCTGCAAGACACTTTAGTCAAAACTGAGGATGGTGTAGGCATAGGGTGCATGCAGTGAAGTTCAGAACACAGTCTGGACTGCCTTGAGCTCAACTAGGTAAGTTTTGTCTGTCCCTTTATCTCATACAGACAACAGGTTTCTTTTTCACTGGACTGGGATAATCTTAGGGAAACTTGTCTTTTACTGTTCGGCATTCAGTCTTACTACTGCTTCTCTGGGGCAAGGGGGGAAACTAGAAAAAAGAGGAGAAAGTAGCAGGCAGATGTAGTTTCCATCTGTGTGCTGTAAACAAGAAAAAATATTTACTTACACCTTACTGTTTGTGTTGGAGGTGTTTGTAGGGTCCATGTTAGAAATACATGAAAAAATATTCATAATTTTAACAGCCAGAAGAAATTAAAGAACTAATTTATTAAGCCACCTTGTGTCACCAAAACAGTTAGTCACAAGCCTATTTTTTTCATTGAGCTGATATTCCAGAACAGATGCAATCCTAGGTTCTTGATGCTTAATTGAACTAGTATTCTGAATTTTGGAGAGCCACAACCAATTGCACCATCGTTTTTGTTAATCCTTCAATAGTTTCACATACTGGGTCAAAGATGGCATGAGAAGACGTTCTCAGAAGATGCGATATTTAACATCACTACAAGTGAAGATAATCCAAAGGTGTGTTTAGATCTCAACCCTGGCAGTAACTACGTGGTCAATATTACTACCACCTCTTCCACAAACGTCACTGTCTCAGTTACAGTAGCAGTTCAAACAAAGGGTAGGTTGTGTTTTGTATTCTCTGTGCTTACAGAAGAACTTACTGTGCTGCAGAGTTTACTGGTTTGAGTCTAGCAGACAGGATAACAGGCTGTCTCCTAGACTATATCATTCTTTACGCTGACTACACCCATGTAGACACCATCAGCATCCTCTTTCTGCAAGACCTGCTCACTGTGGCCATTGAATCTATAAGCAAACAGAGCAGTGGCTGTAAGTGCCCTTCAGAAGGATTTGGCAAACTTGCTTCTTCAGGATTTGTCTTCTGGCTGAGGTAGGATTGGTGCAGTGGCATCCCTGGCTATATGCCGCAATTTCAGTCCATGGTACGGTGCTTACTGGTTTCCATTCCTTGCCTTCAAAACTGATTCTCTGCCTGTCAGAGAATTCCCTGTTGCTGAGCTGTGTGATAATATAAGCGATGTGAGCATTATAGATAATCTTCCTATATTTAACAGTGTTTTGGCAGTTTTTCAGTAATTGTAGAGAAGGCATGTTCTAACAGCAGGTTTCTGTAGTATTTTGGTCATGGAAACTTTAAGTTTGCCTTCTGACATACTAATGCTTGATGAGACCGACTTTGGGAATAATTGCCTTTGGAATCCACAAAAATGTTTTTTCTCACGTTCTTTTTCCTAAAGGGCATCAACCATGACAAATTGTTCTCTGATAACTTTATTTCTATCAGAAGGTCTGAACCCCTGGATTTTTCTGTCATTACAACCTCCCTAGGTCTGGACAAATAAGTCCTATCTTGATTCTGAATACCATGCTTGGGTTTTTCCAAAAGCCACTTTCTCTGGAAAATGTTCATGCTTTATTTACTATATTTGTTCCTTCCAAAAGAAATGAGATTCTACTTCCTTCTCAGAAGAGAATTAAAATAAAACCTTTTTTTTTTTTTTTTTTATTTTCAGCTACTCCAATTAAGTTGAAGGTGGTGAAGTTTTTGTAATAAGCTGTTCCCTTTTTTATTGTCTCTACAGTAAAGGAAGCTTTCAATAATATATTAATTTTTAATGATACCTGCTTGAAATGGAGGAGAAATGTCAGGGGAACTGATGTGGAAGACAAATACTCAGTAAGTGACAATCTGTGTTTTGAATCTAGAAAACAATTTATATCAATTACCTATGTAAAAAAACCTGTAATTTTTTCAAACACTCACTGCTAGCAGTATTCCTCATTCTGATAATGTCGCTCATAAAAACCCAGGGAGTAAGCTTGCATAGTAACCTTCAAAAAAGAAAGAAACCACCACACTTTTGTAGTCTCCTGTTTCTTGCTTATTTTTTCCCCTGTTCTACTCTATTTTGCCTTCCCTATCTGTACTTTCAACTTTGTCACGTTCAGGCCTCAGACAACTCTGTTCCAATTGCACAGAGTTAGTCCACTCTGCCTTGTGATAGACACACCTTCAATCTTCCCTCGTCTCAGCAGGGTGTTTCTACATGAACTATCTATGCCAGGACTCTTGACCACCTGCTGTTGTCTCAAATCTCCGTGTGTGAAGAGGTGCTCAGAGATTATCTAAAGGCACAGGATCTATTTAAAGGAAAATTAGCACATGATTAAAATACAGCAAGCATTTTAGTTTTCATTAACAGTGGAATGATCAGGAGAGGCCTTAAGTTAATAACTTCATGATCATTCGGGACATCAGCAACAAAACAAACACACAGAAAATCCAGCTGAAACAACAAAAAAAACCCCGTGGGTCCATAAATTTGCCTGGAAACATAGGTGTTTGTAGGCAGATGCTGGCAGGTACTTGGCATTTTGACATAGGTCCAAATGACTTGATTTTGGCTTGATCCTCAGGCTCAAAGCAGAGAGATGTTCATGTGAGCTTACTTTTATAACTCATCACTCTGCACCATGAGGGTATACTACAGTGAAAGTCCACTATTACTGGAAGCCTGTATGTTAGCGGGAAATCAAGACTTGTGGGAAATTAGAGTACTAATAAAAAAGGATAGACTGGAAGGAGGAGAAGTGAAAGAACTAGGACAATGTCAGAGCTGATCAAGAGGGACTGCAATTCCTGTCAAATTTTGGAAGCATTTGAATTTGAGTAACTGTCAGTGCCAACATTTTTGGCACTCTGTATGCGGTGATGTGTTTTTCTGCTATTGTAATTTAGAGCATGACATGACTGAATGCAAGTGATATATCAAAACAGTGCAATTTCCATGCCATGATTGTTTGGTTACAGTTTCATGTGCAAGGCCAGCGTTGGTATCAGAAGGAGTTCTTTCATGAAATGACCTTCAACCTTACCACCCACAAGCAGGCTCCAGAAGTTTGTTTTGATTTGCAGCCAGGCACCAATTACTCTGTTAATATTTCCATGGTAGCTTTGAATTTTTCACTGCTCGTTTCCATGACAACGCAAATCACAGGTAAGTCCTGCCATTTGTTTTATGTATTTACAAAAGCACCTATTGGGCACAAGAAGCTCAAGTGAAACAGCATTGTTGATCTGAGTGTTGTATGGTGGGTTGTCAAAGTGCTCTTTCCATGCTCAGAATTGTTCGTTGTTGTTTGTTTTCATTTCATAGGGTTGACAGTCCAGCAGCAGAAGGGGGAGAGAAATAGGGGGTATGGTGTGTTGGCACAGCAGGGAAAAGATAGTTTGGTGGATTAGACACAAGATTGGTATCTATGGGAGTTGGGTTAAATTCCCTGTTCTATTAGAGGCTCAGTCACTTTTTCAGTATGAGTTCTCTCCACTGTGAAGTGGAGATAATAGCCCAACTGCACTTCATATGTGTATTTGTGACAACAGGTGACACTAAAGTCTGCAAGGTTCCAAAGTACAGAGAGTCCTGAAAGTACCTCAGACAGATGCCTTCGTCTCTAATTGGTAGAGTACAAAACATAAAAGGCATTTGAGCCAATAAGGTTCTATAGGAGTCAAACTCTGCAAGATATTTATATGGCACTAAAATGCTGTGATAAAAAAGATCTGTCGTTTTTTTAGGTATTTTTTTGTTCAGAACAGTTTTGCACCATCCCTATACTGTCAGACTTCCTGTATTAGGTTATGACTGTTACACTGTGAAGTGCAGTGTCTAGTGCTGTTATCATTCTTCCCGTTGGGGCCACAAATTGGAATAGGTAAGAAACATGAAAGCTCTCTGTCTGTAACTCTGTTCAGCCACTAGATGGAACCAGTTCTCTTCTGACAGCTTAGAAAGAACTGGACATTTGTGGGGGTTTTGAAATTGATAGTGCTGCAATATTTTTAATAGTAAATCTAAGGTTTTCAAGCTTCATGAGTACATGTAGTTTTGTAAAAACTAATAAGCTGTCTCAGAATTTGGTTGACTGAGGTAGTTTTTGAATACATACTCAGAGTAAAGGCATAGCTTTTTACTCTGTCATCCTGGGATATTTCCTAAACTCTGCAGGATTGCATTAGGTCACTTACTCAGCAGGACTCTAGAGAACACCTTGCAGCAGGTGCTGTGTGAAGTGGTATTTGTGCCTTGGCAGCTGGTGTCCCTCCCACTCCGCTGTGGTAGTGCTTAACAAATGCACGTGCATAGCCCCAGAAAAGGTCTTTGCGTAAAAGTTAGATCATTTCCATTTTGAAAGAAGATCCTGCTACACAAGCTATTTTATATCTGGTAGTTACTTTTTTCAGTGAGCACCTTTTCAAAGGTAGGTGTTGTTCTGTCATTAGGACTCTTCATCCAAAACTTGCCATCCAAAACACTCCATGTTGTGCTTTTTTTAATGGAAGCCAAAAAATAAAAGTAGGTCTTTTTGTGGTTGAAGTTGAGTGAAAATTAAAAAGCCAACAGTGATCATGCTGCAAAGCTCACCAAATAGTGAGAATTTAAAAAAGATGTTAAATTTGTTGCCATTTCAGCTTGTCTAAGATGAAAAGGATACAGGTAAAATAATTCTGTTGGCAGTGTCCCTTTGACTTCAGTGCCTTATGTTTTGGGAATTGCATTATCTGTACAGGCAACTTAATTTATATAAAAACTATTTATAATTTTAGAGTAGGTGTATAATTTGCTTCTTCATTTGTCAAGTTATTTTGTAATCATGTATGTTGTTAAACCAGATGGTTGTTTTTCCATGGTGGGTGGAATGATCTCAATTTATCTGCCAGCTTAAGTCTGAAAAGTGTTTTTTTGGCTCTGGTGGTTTTCTGGCTAAATGGTACTGTGTAAACGCAAGATATGCTTTAAGCACAGAGACTCTAAGGAAGCTGAGCCTTAGTGTTCTACTGTTAATGTACTGGAGGTGGCCTCATTTGTTGTCTAAGGTTTCATACCGCATCCTTTAACAAATGCACAGCCAGTTGGTCTGTTTCCCCAGCTGGGGGCAAATCCAGATGTTGTATCTTCTTGACTTTCACACACCTCCTGCATTTTGAGAGTTTGGGAAATCTTAACTGTGGCGTTTCAACTACTGTGAAGAGACATGTCCCAGACTGTTGGATGAACACTGCTTTGACAGACTTAATTTCCTGACAAGGATAGTCATCTGTGTAAATTCTTAAAGACTGTTGCAGAATACAATAAGCATTATAAATGCTAGCGATAAGTTTGGGTCTTTTTTCAAAAAGGAAGATTTTTAAATGCATGTCAAGAAAGCTACTTCTATATCCTGAATATCTGTATCTATATATCTTCTGAATGTGGATATATTATATCCATAGTATTTCTAAAGAAAAAAAGCAAGAACTTGGGACCTGGAAGCCTGCTTTCCTCCCTGGCAAGTAGCATCCTTTAAAAATAGTTATGTGCTGAGCACAAAGTTGGTTTTGCATCTTGTGGATGGTAAATATAGTCTAGCAAATGTTTTGTGGATCATTGAAATTCTGCCTCTTTCATATTTCCAGTAACAGGCATCTTGAACAGTCTTTTATGTCAGCTTATTTTAGACAAGCTCTCAGCACCTGTCTACTTGAGATGGGAAATTGAGTCAATTATGGGAAATGATTAGGCAGTGATTATATTGTAGTTGTAAAAAGATGGTAGCAAGATCGTCTTTCAAACAAGAAGGGAGTTCGTGTCTGTTTCCAGGGAAGGAAGGGAGTGTCTTGTGGGTGTACTTTCTCATTCATTATTTCTTTTGGGATTATGCTACTTACACACGACTCTGTTACTTTCCCTTTCTGAAGATCATTTATTAAGGCATGCTTGGACAAGGCATTGTTCTTAATTTCATTATCTATTACATTTCCTTTTTCTAAAATAATTCGTATTAGATTCAGTGATGATTTCTTACTACTCTTCCTCCTCTCGATTTTTTGCTTAGAATCAAGGTGTATTTTGAGTTTGTTCTATTCTTCCTGGTCACACATGCTGCCATTTCTTACGTATTTGAACATGCATTTTCCAGTGGGTTTGGATAGGTTTGACCTCAAGCCTGTGTACCTCAGGAAGTTGTAGTAGTTCCTGAGCTGCTATTCTTTTTGTTTTAGTCCAGGATATACCTGCAGGCCACACACACTTGTGTGTGTATCCTGTCTTTCTTCGTATGAACATGTAAGTCAGAAAGTAGACTTGCAAGCTGGGAGTCTAGAAAGTGACTTGAATTAGAAGAATCAATTCCATCACATACTAAGTACAATCTTCTAGAGCCCTGCACTTTCCTGTTGGTATGTGGAAAATGTACTACATTACAGATCAGGTTGTGATGTCTAATTTGTTTGCCCACCCACCGATACACAAACACACATAAAATATACATTATTGTTCTGCTCTGTTGTGTGACAGAAAAGGTTTATACTCATTCTTTCGTAAAGGGACTGCTTTAAGGTCTGGAAAAGGAGGGAAAAAACAAATCTACTTTCCAGTGAGGAAGTGAAAGACTGTTGGAGATGTGGTGATCTGACAGCTCTTACTCCCAGAGCACATCATGTCCCTCCAGAAAGACAGTCCATTACAGTGTGCAGCTTCAGAGCACTAGTATTGCAAAGAAGGGAGTTTCTGATTTATGTAATGGGGAAAGGGGAGTGATTAAAACCTGAGCATGATTTTTTTTTCTTTTAATATAGGGAGGAAATTAGCTGCCAATCCTGTAAACACTTTCATACATATGTTCATAAGTGCACTTTGTATTTTTGTGCAGACTATTCAAATGCATGATACTTAAGTTCATATGAACTCCACTTCTCTGTTATTTTTCTGACCTTCTTCATAGCAAGAATTTTTTGATAAATATTTGTGAAGTCATGATCATTCTGATCACCTCTATCATTCTGTTTAAAAAGCACTTGATATAGGTGGCACAGTCTACGCTTTATAGCCAGTGCTTTACAGGCTGAACAAAATTATTTGCTTTTTTAGTCTTTTCCATCTGTGTGAACTGGGGGTTCTTTAGCGTTGCTTCAGGTAGTCATCTACAAATTTATAGTGACGTATCTGCATCAGCCTTTATGTTGTCCTCAGCTCGTTAGCATAATTAGCATTAAGTAAAATGAATGAAATGCAAAATGGAAAAAAACAATACAAGAATAGGATGCGGTGGGGAGAAAGATAGATTGTAAGCTCTTTTCAGCTATGAATTTGTACCTGAAAAGGTCACACACACCCTGCTAGTATTTCTATTTTTAAGATACAATCTTTAAAGAAGATTCAAATGATCATTTTCTGTAGATGTGGTCTTGATTTATTCAACCTCCTTGCTTCCCTCCCTTCTTTAAGTAATGTCTTTCTCCAAGTTAAAAATCTCTTCTCCCTCTTCGTTAAAGATCTACAGTAAACTTTTTGGGCAGTAATACAAATGGTAAAAAACCTTTTCTTTTGTATCAAGATCTCTGCCTTTTTTCTTTTTTTAATTTTACAGCAGTGTTTTTGACTTCCCTTGTTTTAAAATTCAGTAAAAAAACTTCTTGAACATAAAGCCCTCAAATAACCATTAAAAAAATCCTTTGTTTGCAGGAAATGAAGCTCACGCAAAAGGTGTTATTTCAACAAAGGGTTGTTTCAGTTAGAAGTTGGCCTTAAAAGGAATCTTTGATTTGACTTCCTTGAACTTGGGAAGAGTTGCCGTGTGGTTTTGGACTTTGTGATTTAATTCCATTACTATTTTTAAAGCTTTATGATGAAGGGAAGCTATAGAGGGCTATGCTGGCACAAAGCAAAGGTTTTTTAATAAGGTACAAGTCATTCAGTTTAACAGGATTTGTGCATATCCATATATATCCATATATATCCATATATAGGGTGGGATAGAAATGGATTTGTGTGTTCATTTTTGACATGTCTGTGTATAGGAAACTTACAACCTTTCTTGCCTGCATTATATATCCAAAGGTAAGTAGCACAGTCTTGTCCCAGACTTACAGCTTCAGAGCTGTAGAAAAGGTCAGATGACAGGGAAGGCATTAAATATTCCTGTTATCTCTACTGAAGAATGTTATAAAAGGGCCATA